GTTTAAAAAGTACTGTGATATACAGTACTGACATCATCGCCGTGGATTTAATGACTACACCGGGAAATATTTTTGCAGTCGAAGCTGTGACTACAGGTGGGAAGTTTATATCATTGCCTCCGTAAGCAGTGGTCAATGAAAAATTGAGTCATCCATTTTCTAGGCAGCAGAGGGTGACAGAGCACTGCAGCCGTTAAACAGTACTTTAGTTTACTTCAGTTCAGAAACAGGTGGAAGCAGGTGGTACAAGTTCATGTGGCAGTGGTGTTACCTGGCTGACAGAGTAAAACTATGGAGCCCCACAGTGTTCGGTATTAAACAATTATGAAATTCTGTAAAATATGTAGAGGAAACCATCAAATGTAAAATAAATCTATTATAAAGATATTACTCTTTGATTACTTTGATATTAACAGAGCATTAATTTCTGATTACAAAAGCAGAAAAATATGACTTTAAAGAATACTGGGGAAAACAATGGCATTCACACACAAAGCAAGTTGTTGTAGATTGAACATCTCTGATAAAAACACAGTAACAAAACATTATAATACCATGCGCCTGAAAGTGAGAGACGAGTGTTTGTCATGTTCACAGAAAACCATTAAAATGGTGTCTCTGAGGAATGCCTCGCCCTCACTGACCCGTACATCATGTCCATCACCCTGGACAGTCACAACTGTCACACCATCCCGTCACTGGAAAGCTCTCGTTTTACCCCTCTGACCCCTGTTCCACAGGGACCTGTGTCTTTGTGTACTCATGCAAACACATACAGTGCCACTGTGTTTAGCATCTGCACCACATGAAATCATCACAGTACATGCACATTAGAAAAGATACCTGTCTACCCATATGAAGGAAGAGTGTCCATCACCAGAGGTCAGATCAGTAGTAAATGGACTACTGGGACTGGACAATGATCTCAGCTTCAACTGCTCTGTAACTGAAATATGTACTGTACATAACTGTAATCATGGTAATGACTGTGACTGGCCAGAAGATGGCCATTAGTGAAGAACTAGTTCCATTCTTCAGACATTGTCAGTATTAGCTACATTAGCCACGTACTGACCATTGACCATGGTGTGTTTATGAATTCAGGTCTTTATTTATGACAAGAAGAATGTGGTTTTTCCTCTGAAAGGTTAAATAGTGTTTCTTCTTCCATAGACATGCAGCCTTGTCGAGGCTGGATCCGCCACACCAGAGGGTTTTTTGCCCGTTGCCTGGGAAGGGACAACATTGCCTACAACGTAGATGAAGCCCTCTGGCCAGGCCCAGCTCAAAGACATGATCCTGAGGCAGAATAATCTTTCTGATGTGTTTTTCTTCTTCTTCTCTTTTGATAGTAACATGGTTTTTGGTAAAATCACCATACAATAAACTTTTTTTGTTGTAATTACATGTCCTGGATGCTCTGTTCTGTGACTGAGCTGCAGTGTGTATATGATTGACTCCTTTGTGTATGATCTGAAAGCATTGTTTGATTTTGAGTGCTGGTCACATGGTTTTGAAGCAATTGCTTGATTTTGCCAGACGAGTCAGAGGTTTTGTGAATTTAGTTTGAGTATTTAGATTTGTGTTTAAGGTTTTTGAGAAAATAAGTGGTGGTTTCAAGAAATGTGTTTTAGCAATTCAGAAAAACTGTAATTCTCCAGAACACCACCGCAGTAGTAGTCTCTAGGAGACTGAAACCAACAACATTATTCTGTATGTACAGTTGTATTTACATTTCACTAATGCGTTACAAGCTTTCACACTGTGTATATGAATACAAAAACAGACAAATAGATATAGACCATTTGCTGGCTGTCACTCACTTTCTCACTGTACATGTCGGTTCCTTGTTGCTATGGTAATGGACGTTTCAGACAGCCGTCCAATGGCAAAAGTGACATACAAAAATCTATACACAAAACAGGGTCAGCTAAACATTATTGTTGCAATGGCAAATACATTGAAACATGGTGGTTACTGCCCAAATATAAAGCATGCTATTGTTTCTCTTGTGATTTTTGTTTATGCAGCTTTAATGCTGACAAATTGTGTCTACAATAGACTAAAACCATTTATCTTAGGTTTAGCTGAGCTATGCTTCCTTCAAGCCCAGCTGTTCCATTGTTCAGAGGGAATGAAATTACTCTTCACTTTGTGTAGAAGTGGGCACACCTACTTTGATTTCCCTTCCCTTGAGTCCTGCCTGTCAGAATCAATGCTAGTAACAGTCCTTCAGCTTCAGTTAGATCACTCCGTATCTTACCACTAATCTAATCGTTATATACAATGGACACCTCCACAAGCACACATTCAGTTCATATATTCACAAACACATCCACAATCTGTTCTACGCACACAGATGCACACACACACACTCAGTGGAATGAGTAAAGCCAGTAGTTAGCATGGATGATCTCATCCTGGGACACTGAGAGATGATGTCAGGCCTTAGATGGTGCTGTAAATGTTTATTTGTGTCTGTGTGTTCCAAAAATAAAATGATTTTGAGCTTAATAAAAATGTATTAAAAGACAGATAGCTGAACCAGGCATCATTTGTTTTCTTTAACTACATAATCAAGTCTGAATTTATTTTTTTAGTTTTGTGGGTCTGCAGAGATTTCTATTCCTCATCCTACTATTCAGTTACTTTCATGTTCTGTAAAGTCAGCCTGTATCCGCAGAGCATATTTTTTACCCATCCTCTCCACCCAGTTTCTCCCATGGGTGTTCCCAAAATGCTCCACTGAATCATTTGGTCTTCCCTCCCTATTGTCATCTGTTCTGGTTTCTCCCACAATGACTGAAGTAATCAGTTCTGTCTTGTTTCTTCCTCACGCTCCTTCTCTTCATCACCGTCCTCCTCCTCTTCCCACTCTACCTTTTTGCCTCTCTCTCCGTAGTGATTTTATTTCCAGGATGTGTGTGATGTCCAATGTCAGACATTCATTTACCATCAGGGATGGGTGGTGAAGGGGAGAGGAAAGGAGGCAGTGAAGGCGACAAGAAGACACACCCTAATGTGACCTCATGCATCTGTTTCTCTCTCCTGCAGTGTTGTAGGCTCTTTCATCTCATGTGCCCATGGCCAGTGTGGTGACATCATGTTAGATGTGTGAGCTGAATACAGGATCAAAGGGCGGCAACAACAGATCTGTCACTCTGCTTTCCCTCAGTGTTTCCCCTCGATCCTCCATCAGTGTGTCTTTGTTATCATTTTATGTTCTTATTTGTATGACAACATGGTTCAGAAAAGGATTTAATATTAATGGTAATACTGCAATTACCAGCAGCAGTTATGGTAATAACACTAATAGTACTCACACGCTCTCCAAGAGGCAGGAGCGAAAATAGAAAAGAACTTTACTGCATACAAGATTAAGGCTACAACAATAACTGGGTTGTTCCAGTACCCTTCTGGACAGTACCTGAAGAATAGAAGTCATCTATTAGTAGTTCTTCATTTAAAAAAGGACACTTAAAGGGGATATATTATATATTTGTATAATAACAATGTATTTGATATCAATGTGAAAACAATTTGACAAAAGGACAAACAAAAGATTGTCAACTCAATTAGCAGTTTTCTGCTACTTTAAGCTATATAGTGCTTTGCAGCTCATTGTTTAACTTCCCAGCTACAGCTGACATGTTCTGCTACACATTTCTCGTAGCACTGTTTTTAGTTACAGCAACAGCAGTTAGTTAATACCTGGTGAATGAAGCAGAGATATGGAGCTGGTGGACGCCAAAAACAAAGCTGAAACAAAGTACTGGATTAAATTTATCAGGTGGCCGGAAACATCACACCAAATTAATGATAGTTACTTCATAACTTTTTCAATAAGCAACTGTTTGCTAGCACGCTCACTGTATCATCTTAGTGATACTGTATGTCTGTGTTGTGTTTGTGACTTCCTTCCACCGCCCCCAAGTGGCCAATAAAAGAAAGTTATTGCCAGTTAAAACAGTCAGTGATAAATGGCAGGAAGCTGGAGAAGATCCAGCAAACTAATCATAGTGCACGTCTGGAAGTCTTACAACAGTAACCAGTGAAGTGTGTGTACATGAGAGTCAAAGCTAAAAAATAATCTACTGAAAACAATTAAGTGAAAATGATTCATAATCAATTAATCTTTCAATTAACTTTTTAAAAGCCGTTTTAAGTCAACTCTTTATATGGACAGAAAATGAAGATATTCAATCTACAAGAAGTGGAATAGAAAAGTGTGTTTAGTATGTTTTCTCAATAAATATGAATGAATGACTGTTTTGGTATTGTTTGTGAATTAAAAATATCAAAAGTGGAGCTGGATATGTTGATCTGTTCATCAAAAATACATTACAATCAACAGAGCTTGCTAAATATGCCGTAGTAATAAATGCAATCAGAGAGTTTTTATCAGTAGTAATAGGTCGAGTTTAAGTTGCAGGACTTCACAGATATAAGTACCAGTATTTGTAGCTCTAACAGTAATAGCTGTAACAAATAGTTGGTATAATAAACTGCATGTACTTCATGATGCTAAGGGTTTCTACTTCTTGTATTTACAGTTATGATCTAATCTAATTCAGTGTCCTGCAAACTTGCACACTTCCTGGATGGGCTCCCTGTTGCACACACCCACAATTGCTTTCATTCCTCATGGGGACTTTAGATTGACTTACATTAATTTCCTGGAGACCTATCCTAACCTTAACCATAACCACTACTTGCCTAAAATCCTTAAAGGACTTTAAATGAAGTGTGGTCCCCACAAGAGAGGCTAAGTCCCCACAATATGAGTAATATCAGGTGCACACCACACACACAATCCCACACTCCTGCGCCATATAATAAAACAGTTAGTTTACAACCCACCCTGCAGTACAACATAAAGAGATGAAGGCCCTCCCCCATCCTCTCTCTCCCCTCCTGTTGGCTCGGAGGCTTGGATGCTGGCAGAGCCTCGGACCAATAAGACACCTCCAAGGTGATGTCATGGAGGCAGCATTGATGCTGTTGCTGATGCTGTTGCCCGGCGCCTGTATCTGTGCAGCCAGACAGGGGTAACCGTAGTCACAGGTCCACCATCAGCAGCAGACACGACAGGGACAGAGGGGGGGTAAGTCTGCAATGCTTGTATCACACAACACACAGATGCATTTCATAGGTCACGTTTGGTTAACAAGATTAAGTTTTGTTTAATTGAACGTTGTGTGCATGTGTTTGCATGTGCGAGCATCTCAGCAGGGTGTAATAGGTGA